CAACGATTGATGGAAAATAGGCTGGGTCACCTCAAGCTCTCACCCCGCTGACAAGCCGTGGCTGACTTCAGTGATAAAGTCTGTATGGCTCCTCTCAGAAAAGAGGAGCGCTAAAATGAACTGGCTCAATATAAGAGAAGCGACTATTTCACACCATACCTGCTCGTCTGCTCCCTCACCTTAAGATAGTGTGAAGTGGGAGCAAACGTCTCTCTCCTACTCGCAACGATTTTCACGAAATATTCCTGAGATCACTCCAAAACCACATGCTCTCGGCGAGTGGACGCAGACGAGCAGATATGACGACCCAGTTCGCCACCGCGTACACCCCTACATACCTTGGGCAGAGTTCAGACTTAGCGATGACGCGTGTCGACGCGCTGCAACGCGCTGTAAGGCGCGCCGACGCGCTGCAGCTGCAACAATGCTCCAGTCCCAGACGCGCACGCAGCAGCAGACGAGGATCCATCGGCGCAGCCCTAGTGGCCAATGCCGATCGATACCAGACTGCGTGATTGAGCAGCGTTCCCCATACTCTCTCAATACATAAGCGTGCGGATGCGGAGCGTCAATCGATTCACGCCTGCAGCTACGTACGCGTCTATAGCCTCTTCCACTTTTAGCGCGTTACAGTGCGTGACCCTGTCGTCGCGAAGTCTGAACGCTGCCTTACTCCGCAAAATCTTCTCTTTTTCAGCAAGCCGAGGGAAAAACACAAGTGAAATCGCCGAAAAAGCCCAGGGTGGGTCTAGTAAAACGCGATTGGGTGTTATTCTTATAAGGTGGAGCATATCTGCACGACTACCCAAAATATTTGGCATTGCGGCAAGACATCTTTATCCATTATCAAAAAGAATACGTCTTCTGTACAAAACAAGAGGTCCATTCACGCCGAAGGTCCTTCCCCGAGGAGGGTTTGGCCAAGCTCCTCAGCCTCTTAGCTCGAAACTGTTCCTCCGCATCTTCTACAACTAACTGTGGTCCAATAAATAAAATGGCGTACAACTGTGGCTAGTAAGAATATGGTGACTTCAGGGCCTCTGTGAAGTTGGGGTTCGCAGAATCCGTAGAAATTGTGGCACCAATATGCTCCACATTACTGGAATAGCGCCAAAAACTTCCGCTGAAAAGATAGCTTTACTGAAATTTTGAGCGCAAATAGACACACGGGTGAGGAGGGGCAGCTAAGAATTCCTTGAGCAGAAACGCCATTATCACTGTAGAGATGAGGGCTAAGGTAAGGCAAGCTTGAGAGGCAAGGAGTTCCGTGGGTGGATGTTTACGGCGTTATCTACCCTTAATTACAAAATCCTTCAAAATTCGGGCCAGATCTGGTAGAGCTCTTGCGGGTAGAGGTAGCCGGAAATCCGTCCTATAAGATAGTTCGACTTCTAAACACGAAGATCTTATGCTTAACTGAAAACCAAACGCGGCTGGTGCCACTGGCGCCAACGCCTAAGCATTATAAGTTTGTTCCTAGGGATAATGTGGCACCCCTAGCACGTCAA